ATGATTCCTATTAAGTTTGGCCCTACGGGCTCTAGGAATTAAACGGTGGTCTATTACCTCATTTACAACTGTTTATAGTTCCGATATGGCTACCTCCGGGGTGTCAATTTGATACAAATTACCCCAATCAATTTGTTGAAAGCTATCGTATAAAATATGAAAATTGGCTTTATAGAAATTCCATCTGCGTTTAATAAAAGATTTATCAATCTCATCACGAGAATAGAGGCGTTGCGCCTGCGGCTCCCTGGCAATGCCCATTGTCACGCTGACATACACCGGAGGATGTTGTACGTCAATATTTACTAACGGGTCATTACACAACTTTACTTCCACGTCACGTGCTAAAAACGTTGTAAACACTAAATCTAAAGTACGGTCGTTAATATTACGGATATTATTTACCTGGCAAAATCCACAGGCGGCGTTAAAATATTCCATGTAATTGTGCATTTCCACAGGTGCTGAAGGCATATTAAAGTCACCAAGCACTATAACATTATTGTATTTAACACAAACATTTTCTAATATAAGAAATAATTGCATGTATTCTCTAGCTACACTATGCGGTTGGATGTAAACAACGCAACATAGAAACATTAATTTCTTATCACGGTGTACCGTCGCACACACGATTTCAAATAAGGTGGTGTCCACATTGCCGACAGGAACGCATCTCAACTCCAGCGATGACGAAGAAGCTAGAAATACTCCTCCGTGTTTGCGGCCATCAGCTCGATCGTATCGCAGTATTTGGAAACCAGGAGGGATAAGTTCACCGTCATGTATGGATCTATGAAGACTTGATTCCGTAATCGCAAATAAGTCTCATTTCAATAAAGTCATTTCAATAAGTCTCATATCAAAGTCAAATAAGTTTTCATTACCTGTTGCTGGTTTACGGGTGTTTCGAAACCACACCCATTCATTAAATCGGGTATGTATTGGCCAACTATCTCTGCAGTTCACTTTTTCAAACGTGGATTCTGGAACAATCTTTTCAATTTGGATATCCTCAGAACCACAAATTTTTTTCACGTGTTCCCTTATTGCATCTTCCGAGGTTTCGAGATGGAGTGACCACACGTGTAAAAACTTCTTTTTCTGTATAGCCTGGAACGAACCGATTTGGGCGTTTCCTCCAGTTTGGATTGCCTTAAGATTGGTCTTTTTAGACTTTTTATGGCCACCTACTACTTTCCATTCTTCAGTCGCAGACGTTTCAATTATAGTTGAATCTTCTTTTTCTGTATTTTTGTCTGTATTTTTTACTTCCAGTGTGGAAACATCCTTTTTTCCCGCTGCATTGCTCGACGCGCGCGCTGCGTTATTTTTTTCTCTGATAAGGCGACCGTATCTGAGGATATCGGTGTCTCGCTCGCACTTGGGAGTGTCAGTACCTTAGTCGGCACGTCGGTCTCGCTAGTTGACTGCCCAGCCCGCAATAGGTCGATTGTTCTGGCGGGCATTTCTTCGATTACCCTCTTCAGGTCACTTCTCGTCGACAACAATTTCTCAATAATGCGCTGCTGATTTTCAATCTTCTTATTCTGTGCTTCAATCAGCGTCCCTTGCGTTGTGATTTTTGTTGTCAACGCTTCTACATTCTTTGACAAATCAGCGAAAGCAGACTCCACTTTAAAACTTTCATTTTTACCGAGAAACGGAATAAAAACACGGCGACTAAAGTTCACGTGTGATAGGCGTACAGCCAGATTGGGCACTATATAATTTAATCTAATAATCTAATCTATTATTATGAATAATGTAATCATTGAACTATTAATAATATTTGACATTTGTATGCCCATGAGGCTGATCACAGACTGAACTGTACTTTATTTTTGTTTAAATAAGACCTTTTTGTAAACTGTGAATCACAAATGAACGATTTGATTTATAAACTAAAGTATTCAACATTTAGCTTTTATATGATTATATTTATATGTATAGTAGGGTGTCCCAAGACATAAGGGAAATTTTTTTTTTCGTGAAATCAATTACGCATACCCTCTATTTTTATTTTGATTGACCTCATTGACTCAAATAATAAATATTATTGCGATCGGACAACGATAACCCGTGCCGACTTGATCCCAAACTTTTGACATGAAAATTTGTACTGACTTACTTTAAAAGGAATTAAGAACTTAATTTTTATTACTTAATTAAAACTCTAATACACCCAAATAGTATATTATTTATTCATTTACATTAAAAAATATTAGTATTGTTCAAATTTTCTTTTTAACGTTGGTTTTTTAGAGTCAGGATAAATTTTCCGGTGTTCTTGTACGCAACGTAATAAAAATTGTTTTGTTCCTCCTCAACAATAATTAATCCATAAAAGTCTTGCATTAACTTAATCGCTCTTTCGTCTACATCGTTTACTACCCTCAGTGCCGAAACTTTTTTTCAGGCTTCTTGAAACGAAGCATTATTTGACCACCAAGTAGGACATTCATGTAGAAAACTGTCTTCAATTTTAAGGCGGTTGCACAAGGACTTGCTTTTTACTGAAATGAAGTCAGAGATGTTTTAATATAAGATAAGATAAGTGTTAAAAAAATATACTTTCACAGGAAACGAAAGTAAAAGGACCCCGCACCATCATGATGGATATTGGTTCCCGGTCAAACGCTGAAACTTCAGTATGTCGTTCTTCTTGATATTCTGATCAAATGCTCCAATGGGCTCGAGGTCAGAAAGTTGCTAGTTTTCGAGATACAGATCATCGAACTTCCGATACATGGCTGTTTGGCTAGGCAGGGTGTCGGGAAACAACATAATACGTATAAAGATAAGTGAGATATTGTCACCAGTAGCAAGGAACATCCCCTGCACTCACATTTATCAGAAAACCAAGTACACTAATATCTATTGGGAGGTAGCTACCTAGCCCATTGGTTGGCCAAGTTAGTTCACCCAATGAGGTTAACTGGTTATGTGGGGTACTTGACTCAATTGGATCGAGAGGGCTGAAGAAATTGAAGCGCGTTATTTTCTTAGTCCAAATAAGTCAACTGGTAATATAAACTTCTTAGTGTCAATATAAGTACGAATCCACGATGATGAACAACTTCAATGGGCACAAAGTTCGAAAATTGCTAGTTTTCGAGATACAGAGCGTCAAAGATATAGCGATATATGACTATTTCCTGTTTAACTTGGCAGGGTGTCTTAAGATCGTTTCATTATTTAGTTTTTCATTGGATGGATTGAGGTGAATGTGATAAGCTGAAAGGTTAACAGAGTTCTTTATAAACTCTGATCCTTTTGATCCTGCACCACCAAGGCACTGCGTAAGCGGTTGGCTGGCGCTCTCCTCATCTTGCACATGGACGGCTCTCTTATCTATCTTCATGTATTAGGTCAACAGAACACTCGACTCTAGCGATTTCATAGCTCATGCGTGAGGTACGTCTGTGGAGTCAGAAGGAACAAGCACATCTGTCCCTACAGAAGGAAAATAGGTTGGATTTCGGTGCGGGCAAGAAGCGAGTATTTTGTACTGTTACAAAGTACTGGTTTAGAAAGCAGTTGTAATGACACAGCGGCTGTACTTTACTTCCCTTTTCGATAAGAAGCAGTCTAAGAACCTCATGTAGGGATTCAAAAAAACTCGTAGTTCTTGCTCTGTGGGGGGTTGAGACTGTTGGAAAAACAACTACCTACCAAATGTGAATGCTCTTCAACTATCCTAAAAAGGACTGCCGAAAAAACAATCAGTACACCCGACCTGAAAAATTGCCAACTATCCTGAGAAAGACTGTTGGAAAAGCAACCATCCAATGAACTGTAATGTTCTTTAACTATCCTGCCAATGACTGTCAAAGAAACAATCACTGCACCTGATGTGAAAGATCACCAACTATCCTGAAAAGGACTGTTGGAGAACCACCCGCCAAATGTGAATGTTCTTTAACTATCCTAAAAATAACTGTTGAAGAAACAATCAGTGCATTTAATGTGAATGATCACCAACTATCCTGAGAAGGACTTTTGGAGAAGCAGCCACCCACCAAATATGAATGCTCTTCAACTATACTAAATGGAGTGTCAAAGAAACGATCGCTTCATATGCTGGTAAAATATCCGTGCCCCGTCAAAACAGCCCCGACAAAACAGCCACCGACAAAACAGCCCCGACAGAATAGCCCACCGACAAAACAGCCACCGTCAAAACAGCCCCCGACAAAACAGCCCAAGTCAAAATAAATACCATACATATCTATAGAATTTATAACTATACTTATACCGTGTATCTACTTCAGTTGGCGATATATGGGAAACTTTTCTATTGTGAGTTTTAGCAAGAAATTATTCCTTATAAAAATTTATACTTTACAATTTGTTCATTCCAACTATTGCAAATGTATCTGAATAATGTTTTCTACAAATGATATCAAATTTAAAATTGTAAGTGGTGTAAAACGAATGTTAATACTTTACGTGACTTTTTTTGGTTCATTTTATGTATTTTTTGTTTTCAACAAAACTATTGCATCGTCTACACACGAAATAAAAACAAAAATAAATGTAGGTATAAAATTATATTATAATGTATATTTACAAACAAAATTCTACAAACTATATTCGTCAAAGGTTATTAATTACAAAGGTTACAATTATTAATAATTATTATAAAATAAAAATAAATGAAGTTATATTTTTTTTTTATAGGATTGGGTGACAAACAAGCACACAGTCCACCTGATGGTAAGTGGTTACTGTGACCCATAGACATCTACATCTATCCTCAATAAAGACTCAAGATGCAGATGCGTTGTCACCCGTGAGGACTAAGATACACTACACTCACCATACGAAACACAGCAGCGTTAAGCTGCTATTTTACGCTGGTCTTCTGTGAGAGCGTGGTCCTTCCCCGGTCGAGCCGACCCATTCGTGCTACAACCATAATATAGCTGCAGCACGGCTCTACCACGTAGAAAAATATATATATATAAAATAAATATAAAATATAATAATATATCAATTTATAATGTCAGATTGTTGGAAATTCCACGGAGATACGGTAAAAGGTCGTCGTTGTTATAATTTCCCATAAGAGTTTCCAATCGAGGATTAAGTTGCACATACTTCTTTTTGGAAGCTTCGGGATTTCTGAAGCCGGCTCGAAAACGTTCCAACTCTATTTCTACCCGGTCTTGTTCCTTCCTGAAGTGGTCTATTAATTTGAAAATACATGGATGGTGACAGTCAACTGTGTGTTGGAAAGCATGATGCCATCCTTCTACAGAGTTATTTGTACGCGGAAGGCCCTGGTGCACTCTATCATGAACATTCCATACATGAATAGGAAATTTTGGATCTGCTCTCCGATTTCTTCTTTGCCGTCCTATATAAGTATCTTCCCAGTAATCGATGACTGCATCAATTTCTCGTGGACAGCTTTCGGTTAGCTCCTCAAAAGCAGTGATTACGTCGCCCTCTTGGACAAAAGATAACGCTAGTAACATTTTCAAATGCATTCTCACATTTTCGTCATTGCGATATTCTTCTACAAGATGTAGCTCTTGGATTTTCCTCCATAAACACTGCCCTAAGTGGAATAAACAACCCATCACCTGAACACCATGAAATACATGGCAAACTGCATTTTGGATCGCTTTCTCGAAGTCGGATAAGCAGCTTATTGGATTTAAAGTGGGTTTCAACTCCATCAATTTTTTAAACACTCGAACATATGTTTCTTCTCGTTTATCCTGTAGAAGCACGTAAATCAACGGAATAGAACGGTTATCTACCAATGCATGAATGGTAAATACTTGTAAAAATAATTGTGGGGCTACTTTAAAGGTTCCATCTACGTGCCAGTGCCGGTGCTCCTCTAAAACTTCCAAATTTTCTTCAGTACCAAACATGAAGATGCGATGAGGATCATTCTGTCCAGAATCCCATAACAAGAAATTTAGATTTCTTGAAGAGTGACTTGTAGTGCAACAGAGCCTGGGTTTAATATTGGCAACAGAGCCTGGGTTTGGGCACGACACTTCACGCCTTTGCCGAATACGCTCAACAGTTCTCTGAGATGCATTGTACGATGGCAAATGGACTGATGCTTCCAAATTTATTCCTCTTGTCGATCCTTGAATCAACTGCCTTGGTTTCTCAAGGGTGTCCGCTGCTCGCCTTTTCATATTAGACACAGATTTTTTTGCTTCATTTTTAGCTGGATCTGGAGCATGACTGTGTCGAGTCACATTTACCACGACATTTTCCAATGACACTTTGACACGTCCTCGGCAAGGTGTCTCGGCGCATCTCCATGATACACTGCCATCGGTATTAGTTCTCGCCTTACGATACCGGTACCCATCGCTCAACAGTAAATCTTTGCCTTTCTGCGATTGAATAAGTTCCATGATCTTCACCAGACAAAATTCTACAAGACTATAGTTATTTTGTGTGTCCCGATGTTCTTATATATTACTGCTAACGGCCGAAACGTAAATCCCCCCTTCTTGGAACCTACTCATAATAGGTATAGTCCGTTCATCGGTTTAAGAAACTAACTTTTCTTTTACGGGGGATTATCCCCTTACCTGGTGCTGCAATTATAGAACAATTAAGTAATTTATTAACACTTCCCATGTATTTCTAAATGACCCATACTCGTTCAATAGCAATAAGAGGATTATCGCCGCAAAAGGTACAATAGGCATTGTAAACACATTACAAATTACTTTGTATTTCTAAATGACCCATACTCGTTCAATAGCAATAAGAGGATTACCGCCGCAAGAGGTACAATAGGCATTGTAAACACATTACAAATTACTTTCTTAAAGCGATGAACGGACTATAAGTTATTATAACATTTATTCAAATCTGCTAATCGGCTGAGACGTAAATCGCCCCTTCTTGGAACCTACTCATAATAGGTAAGTTAATTAAATTGAAAGCTGAATATAAAATTCCACAATATATTCACAGAAATAATTATTATTATTATATTATATTTTCATTATGTAATATACTCTGAAGATAAAAAGCACGATTATCAATGCAACTAGCAAAGTAATAATATTATACTACCTGTTTACGGGCTGTTTTGTCGGGTGCTGTTTTGACGGGGGCTGTTTTGTCGGTGAGCTGTTTTGTCGGGGCTGTTTTGTCGGGGCTATTCTGTCCGGGGCTGTTATGTCGGGGAACCTAAAATATCATATGCAGTTAACTATTCTGATACGAGTATGGACTATTATTCAAATAGTTGCTACATGAATATTCTTCAACTATCCCAAAGAGGACTGTCGAAGAAGCAATCGCTATACAGATACGCTTTTGTATTAATGGTGATAATTATCGGTTATTAGTGGTCAATACTGGTAAAAACTGGTAATCATTGGTTATAAGTGTTCAAACTTGTAATTATTGGCTATCAGTGGTTGACAGTGGTTAACACTAGTTATATTATAATAGCGTCAATGCTGGGTTAAAAACGCTTGTTATACGTTACTTCTAGTGAGTACTAGTTAATATTTAATAATTATTAGTTATGAGTCATTATATCTGGTCAATATTTGACATAATTGGTTGGTGGTGATCGATAGCGGTTAACATCACTCATTATCGGTTATTAGTAGTCAGTACTAGTTAACATCAATCTTTATCGATTACTAGTGTGTAGAGCTTGTAAATACGGATCAAGGTCTTGATCGCAGACTTATATCCACCTTGTAATATATATTCAGAAAACAGGACTTATGCATATAATTGTAGAAATATGCAGACGTTCTCATAACTCCATCCCATACGGCCATACGTGCATTGGAAGTTATGTGGACACTAGTATGTTTACATAACTAGTTGACTTATTTGGATTAAGGGAATAAAGCGCTTCACACTCTACGACCACCTCAATCTAATTGAGTCAACTATCCCACCTAACTAGTTAACGTATTTGGGTGAACGAACTTGACCAATCGATGAGGTGGCTTCCCCCCGAATTCTGTATTAGGGTAGTTAGTATTTTCTAATAAATGTGAGAGCAGGGGATATTCTTTGACCATCGGTGTACATATATTACTTATGTTTATAAGTATTATGTTGTTTCTCGACACCCTGCCTAGCCAAACAGCCATATATCGGAAGTTCGATGATCTGTATCTCGAAAACTAGCGACTTTCTGACCTCGAGCCCATTGGAGCATTTGATCAGAATATCAAGAAGAACAACATACTGAAGTTTCAGCGTAATTGACCGGGAACCAATATCCATCAGGATGGTGCGGGGTCCTTTATTTTACTATAAATGCCAATGTTCTTTAATAATCTTACCATACAATGAACCACATAGTTCTTCTTTCGATGGGATGTATCGTTTTCGATGAGTTATTTCTTCCTCTTCCGTTAATATTTGAACCATTTTGAATTTAGTTTCTTGGTCCACATCATCATCAAACAGTGATAATATAGAAACTTCGTCAGTTAAATACCACAAATGCTGAGTAATCTTTTGCAAGGCTGCTTTTGAGATTGTTTTATCAATTTTCTCGTAAGACTTCATTATTTTCAAAAATCACAAATCTTGGTAAGCTGATTTTATTGCCGAAGTGCATTGAAGCCATGGTTTCATGGCCAAGCATGGCACCTGGAGGTCGGATTTTAAATTTTCTCTCGATATCTCCACCTGAAAATATCACAGAAAGCTCTATTAACTCTCGATATTCATCTCGGACTATGTCTTTTGTCAGTTCAGTTCGATAAAACTGTAGCAAGTTGTCAATTTCGAAGTCAGTCAAGTGCTGTGTAAGTTTTTCTCTATAGTTCTGTATTTTATCAGCATTAATACTTTTCTAGCTTTCTCGGAACTTTTTAAAGAACAGAATATCGGGGCTTGTAGTTACTTGACTGATTTTTGCTTCAAGTACCCCTTTTAAGACCAATTCATACACGTGATGTCGACAAGCGAAATTAAGCATTTCTCTGTTCAGTTTTTGTTCAAGAAGCACACAGGCACCGTTTATACGACCTGTATTTGAAGCAGTAGTATCACAACAAAGAATTTGCACTTTATCTTCTAAATTCCAGTCGACAATTGCGTTCTAAACTGCCTGTGCTTGTTCAATTCCAGTAGAACTTTCTAGTCTTGGTACAGCAATAAGTTGTTCTTTGTTTTCATAAGAAATAACTATAGGAAGACGTTCTTCTTTGATTTCAAGCACTTAAAGCAGGCAAAAGCTTGCCGTCGCAATGAACAGACACAACTTCCGGTACCTTATTTTGGAAATCAATTTTTATGGCTTCAGCGCGTTCTTTCCGTTTTTCTGTGCGAATTCTTTGGATGGAAGACTTACTTATCGGAAATTCATCAATATTATATCCAAGCGCTTCAATAGTTGCTTGAAGAATTAACACAGAATCTCTCATACTCAATTGACACCTATCTAGCGCTGCTACTAATTTTGGAGTAATAAAATCTCTTCGCAGAGGTGTTTTGCTGGGTTGCGTGTTCTCGACAAGCTTCGGTACGTCCTCTTGTAAATCTAAGTTTTCATTAGATTCAGATGATGAGTCGTCTTGAGGGTTGTAAGATGATGCCGAAGGAGTCGGCTCAGAGAAATATTTAGCACGTCGTTTTTCTTCTTCGATAGTTCTGAGGCGCGCTCTTTTCTCTCTATCAGTCAATTTTTTATCCACTCCTGCTAAGTGACCAGGTCGGCCTGGTTCTCTTTGACGCTGTAAAAAGATTCTATCCTCATTTATTTTTATGAATTGAAACGCATCGGCGTTTGCAATGACAAAGAAATTATCTAAATTGTTGACAAAGTCTTATTAAATACGTCTTGTGACTTTTGTGCATTTTTTTGCAAGTCCCTCCAAACTTGATATATGTTTACAAGTTTTTTCACACAATTAGGCAAAGATTTAGTAGGAATACTTGCCTTTTCCCAATAGATAATACACTCGCGAGTAGTGAGATTCGCGCTTTCATTGACAGTAAAATTGACTTCTCGGATATTGTAAAATAAAACTGCTAGAACTTGTCCATTAGACGGAAGTTTTGAATCCGTTATTTGATGTTTTACGTCACCTATTAAAAATATATCCCTTTTGGAACTGCGTAATTACACTGACATGTTGACTGATTGAAAAAAATGCGAGTTCTATAACAAAATAACGAGTAAGCAAGCAAGCAAGCAAGCAAGCACATCGACACGTTAGGTCGCGTCAGCCTTAGAGAGCATGTACTGACATGTATTGATGTAAGTCGGCACGGGTTACCGAGGTCCTACCTTCTTAAAATTTTATTTATAATTGATTTGACTTAAAAGTAAAACAGTAAGAGGGTACACATTAAAAAAAAAACTACTTTGATTTTTTTGGGACACCCTAAAGTATAGTCACGGTGTGTAGTCCTGTATAAAAAAGAAAATGGAAGCGGGCTTTGAAAAAAGACAGTCAGCTAATCTGCCAAAAGTGGATATCTTTATGGTTGCGCAGTATTTTTCAGAAAATTATGATTTTTTATCATCAGAAACGCATGGAATAGAGCTCTAAAGGTAAGTTATTAATAAAATATTACGAAAAGTATACAGCTTTACCATTGATTAGTAATTAGGCAGTAATACATAGTTAGGTATTAACTGACCCAACCACGAAGTTTCACATGATTTACAACGACATAAAATGAAAAAACTTACTTAAACTTACTAATGCAGTGAGTATTAATCAACTCGTACTGTTATTTAGTACCTAGTGACACGTGAAGAAATTTTGTTGGTTACGTAGTTCGTCAGTGGTTGCAAACATATGGTCGTAGTTTTACTTCGACTTACTTTTGAATAAACTGATTGCGGTATTACGTTGGTAGTTGATACCTATTCTGTTTTGAAAATGCAATGGTCGCAAACATTCAATGCGTGTAATACTAAACTGATTTTGATGAAATTTTGTGTTAAGCTGTAACTTGATCTACAGGATTTTATAATCTCATATCGAACTTTTATTCCCAAGGAGCGTGATATAACAGAATAAAAAAAAGACAGAAAATAAAGGTTACTGATAAATAAATAACATGACAAGAAAAATAGGAAGCAATAAATATGGACAGAATAAGAATAATATAACAACGAAGACTACTGGTGGCTTCGACGTGTCGATTTGTGACGTCACATCGCAATGCGGAGCAAAGCGGTTGCCCTTACCGTAAAATACCACTTTACTCATCAATATTTCAGTCATTTTTAAAGATAGAGAAGAAATAAGAATACTGTTTAATTCGTAATTTTTTATACAATTTTTTGATACCCTTAACAAAATTGAGCGGCCAGACCCATTACCTGAAGTGTATTGTTCAAGTGCTGTAGACGAGGATGGTGTCATCGCTTCATCTGGCTCTGCATCAGCAGAAGGTGTTTCGC